AACCATCGTTTCCTTATCCAGTCTTCTGTTGATAGGCATTTCGGTTGCTTCCATATTTTTGCGATTATTGATTGTGCTGCTATGAACGTAGTGGTGCCTGTTGCTTTCTCGTGTAAGGTCTTTTGGATATATTCCTAGAGGTGGTAGGTGCTGGGTCATATGGCAAGTGGATTTTCGATTGCCCGAGTATTCTTCATACTGATTTCCATAGAGGCAGCAGGATGTTTTAAATCTCTCCAATTGTTTTCTAAATAAATGGCAGACATTTACTTTAATGGAAAACTTTCAGAAAAATGTGGGTAGTTAATAATTGAGTCACTGTGACAATTACAGTGCTCACTGATTTGTGTGCATTTTAAAAGCCATTACTACACACTGTTGCACACCTGAGAAGTATTGTAACCTCTGTGAAATGACTTATCTGCCTAGGGGCCATTGGATGGGAATTGTCATTCATATGTAACATGATTTTATTAAAAAATGCCACGTCTCACGAGACTGCTGCTGTTTCTGGTGAAGGTACATTTAGAAACAATCTTCTTATCTGAATCAGCCCTTGAACCAGTGACAAAAGTTTTGCTGAATAAATTATCTGCCCAAATACACTTGGTTTAATGAATTGTTTTAAAAAAAAGGTAAATTATGTACTGTTAGAATTATAGAAAAGTCACTGAGAGTTCGAATATTTATCTGAACACATGTAATGTGTATCTCTTAGGAGACAATTGTGTACAATAGTTTTTAGTGCCCTTCTCCCCCCTCCCCGCCCCCATGTAGGCAAACCTGATGAAGTTCTAAAGGACTTTCTGTGCTTGACTTTTTGATGAACAACTTGGTAGGGAAAATTGTAACTCTCCCTTGGGCCTCTCCAGTACTTATTTACACATAGGTGCTTTGTAGATAAACTTCAAGAAAGTTGCTCTCACGTTTGCCTGCTGTTTGTGGAGCTGGGACACGGTTGGGTTCGCAGGATGAAACAAAGTTATGCTTATCAGTTCCCAAGCCAAGGTTCTAGTTCATGTCCTTCCGTGCTGTTCCAACCCCTCCTCCCCAGCTTCAGTTAAAGTTCAACCATTCAACCATTGGAGTACAGCACCACCAGGCTATGATTGATACTATCACCTACTGGCCCAGGAAGGCAGGCGGAAGGAAAGCAAGACCTGCCCTCTTCGTAATTATCCCTGCCTTTGGGATAACAGTGGGAGCTGCCAACACGATGAGGCAGAGTAACCAGATAATTCCTATGGTTTACATGGATAAATCAGGGTGTCTTGAATCCAGGAGAACCCGTTGGACTTCCTGCTAAGGAGCATTGTGTGTTATGAGTTCCTAGTCTGTGTCTACTGGTATGGTTCAGTGCATGCTGGTTCACATTTCCTTGAAAAATCACCTCGCCTGGGCCCACTATGATGGCTCAATGGCTAACTCTTTGCCTTGCATGCACCGGGATCCCATATTGGCACCAGTTCCTATCCTGGCTGCTCCACTTTCCTTCCAGCTCCCTGTTTGTGGCCTGGGAAAAAGCAGTAGAGGATGGCCCAAAGCCTTGGTTCCATGTACCCATGCAGGAGACCTGGAAGAAGCTCTGGGCTCCTGGCTTCAAGTCAACTCAGCTCTGGCCATTGGAGCCACTTATGAAGTGAACCGGTAGATGAAAAATCTTTCTATAAATCAGCTTTTCCAATAAAATAAATAAATGTTTTTAAAAAATCATCTCAACTGATTTTGGGACCCCTCCAAAGGGGATTTGCTTTAGTGATTGTAGTGAGTTGCCAATAAGCCCCTGTGATTTCATAGGGTCTAGCAGATCTCTTCTCCTAAGTGACCCTTCTGGATACTTCCACTTCATCCCTTCAATTCTCATAACTAAGACTTGAGCTGGCCAGTCTACAACTCACACTGCTTCTTGCCTGAGTGTGTGTCTACTGTGTAGTTAAATCAGGGTGCTAACCATGACCTAATCTCTTAGGGAATATTCGCCATAAAACATCTGGCATCTGCCTTGCTAACAGGCTTCATGAAGAAGTGGGGAAAAAAAAAAAACCAGGCTTAGTGGATGGAAGCCACCAATGGGAAGGTTTCTATTGGCAATGCATGGTCAAAGTAAGGGACAATACTGCATAACTCATCAGGTTTATCCTTTGATTAACTGACATAAAACTGGATTATACATTCTGCCAAAGAGAACCCTGTTTCCAGTAGTAAGAACAATAGAAGAGGTCACGTGCTCCTAGATAATATATGTATTTAAAAAAACCCTAAAACCAGCATTTGATGAAGCTATCATAAGAATCTCATCACTATCATTTTGTCTGAGATCCGTTCCTCATCTCATTTAAGACTTCTATGACTTCGGGAATCTTAAGTAGTGCATCTGTTTAGGACTTAGCACAATTTCAGAAACTTGATAGGTACTCCAACAATATTTGTTGCCTGTGTGAATGTTAAACAAGCATTCTCTGTCAAGTGGGCCTCTGCAAGAGCAGTAAATAACATTAACTGTGTGACCATGTTGGGTAAAACACATCCAGGAAGTGCATGAAAGACTCAAACCTGGCTTATTCTTTACTTGATAGACTTGTTCACTTGGTTCCCTGCAGCCACTTGATGGTTGCATCTTATCTCTCTGTCTCTTGTTCCTCTGGGTTTATGAAGTCCCTGTACTAAGTTCAATATTTACATGGCTTTATGTGTCACTAATTTTCTCCAGGCTCAAGAATCTTTTCTATTCTAGGACCTCTGTTCACACCTCTCTCGTCAGTAGCCTTGTCCACCTGTGTTGGTCATTGCTAGCTTTCATATTTGTTCTTCTTGCAGACTGTCGGCTTCCACAGGCAGGGGTTTGATTTTCTCCCTTATCTCCAGTGGCTAAGGTGACACCTGACCCATGGAGGGCTTGGGTGGGTGCCCCTGGATTGTAATAGAGAATGTGCAGGGGCTCATTGTGGTAGCCTAATAGCTAAAGTCCTCACCTTGCATGCACTGAGATCCCATGTGAGCTCTGGTTTGTATCCCAGTGGCCCTGCTTCCCTTCTAGCTCCCTGCTCGTAGCCTGGGAAAGCAGTAGGGGACGGGCCAAAGCCATGGAACTTTGAACCCTATATGGGAGACCCAGAAGAAACTCCTGGCTCCTGGCTTCAGATTGGCTCAGCTCTAGCCATTGTGGCCATTTGGGGAGTGAACCAGTGGATGGATGACCTTTCTCTCTGGTTCTCCTTCTGTGAATCTGACTTCCAAATAAAAATAACTAAATCTTAAAAAAGAAAGAGTGAATGTGTGAGTTGAAGGTATGGTGAATGAGCTAATCCATAGTTAGATCCTCCACAGGCACTAGTTTTCAGGTGGTGGTTTGCAAAAGTGAGTGCACTTGGAGGTTGTAACTAGCAGGTCACTAAGGCCTGTCAGCTGGCCCTGGCTGCCATGGATGTGTCTCCTCATGAATGCAGTCCTGATTGCCAAGTGAGAAGCTCAAAAATGAAACAATGTTTAGAGGGAGAGAATAATGCAGATGGGTTGGCTGGGTGTGTAAGTGACTACAGGAATGGGGCTGAAGATGGTTGTTAGAGCAGACCTGGTCATTACATCAGACATTAGAAAACCTTGAACGGAAGCTCCTGTGTCCTAAATGGAATGTTAGTCTTGTACTGCTGCTGCTGTGTGGCCCCAGGGACTTCAGGGGCAAGACTGGAGGCCAACATGGAGCTCGGGGGCCCCAAGCCAACAAGGGTGACCTTCAATGACATGGCTTGCAGAATACATGGCCCTGCCATGTTAACGCCATGAGTGATTCAGTTTTTTCAGTTTTTTTAGTTAAAAGCAATGTAAGCAATATAAAATGAGCATAGTACTGAGAGAATTACATAGTATATCTGGTTCTCCCTAGAGAACACCTGTTTTCTTTTCCCCCATGACATATTTTTTCCTGTTAATATGGCATCAATACAAACTAGAGAGTGCTTTTTAACTACCAGTGAAGTTAGCACCTAAATCCGGGTACTATAATTATGCATCGCATTCTGAGGTAAATCTGTTTTACTTGGAGTTTGTTGATCGACACCACTTTGTAAAATTAGGATAAATTTAACTCACTCACCAACCCCTTTCTAGTTTCACCAGTGTTTTATAACAAAATCAGTATTTTCAGTCCTTTGGATTGATGGAGTGCTCCAATGTGTAATAATTTACTTGAGTTTTCACTTGCTTGAGTACATGTAGTTAGGTGTGTCTTCATGCCCTTGCTCTAAGGGGAGGACTGTAATGCCTTTGTTACGCTCTTTTCTGTTTCACATCTTATCTGTGTCAGCTATCCTTTTGTTTTTTCACTAACATGGAAGCATATTGGTGTTGACATTCTGTTGTGTAGGCTGGGATTTTGGAGATGATTTTAAGGGAAAATTGAAGGCATTAAGTGAGATTTGCACAAGGTCCCTTAGCTGGACTTTGAACTCCCAGTCTAATGGGCTTCCTACGGATACTTTCATTGATTGATTCATCAAACATGTATTGTGTGCCTGTCCTCCACTGGGTACTATCCTAGGACCACAATTCAAAAATAAAAAGTTATTTAAAATGTGATACTTCATATTAATGTAAGAAAGAGAACTGTGTAAAGAAACAAATTTCAGTGTGATAATATGCAAAAGAAGGTGTTATTTAATTTTTTTACAATTGCTGAGGTTACAGCAATTGGTCTTATTAGAATTTACAAATTTATTATATTAAGGAGACTGTTTTAATAGCTTATACTTGTATAAAAAGTAAGACAAATTTTGTCAATAAGCCTGCAGGAAAGTGATTTAAATGGTGTGATTTGAAGTCAAATAGGAAAGCAATATTTAGATAAATTTCTAATTTTATATATATACCATGATATATTTTGTGTGGATATTGAAATAGTCTTTAGTTATAAGGCTGTGTCTAGTATTTTCCCTTCAGAACAGAAGTATATACATTTCCCATTCCTTTCGTAGTAACTTGTAAACTTTCTTTTTTCTCTCCAGATTTTCATCACTGTGAACTGCCTAAGTACAGATTTCTCCTCCCAAAAAGGAGTGAAGGGACTTCCTTTGATGATTCAGATTGACACGTATAGTTATAACAATCGCAGCAATAAACCCATCCACAGAGCCTATTGCCAGATCAAGGTCTTCTGTGACAAAGTGAGTAAAAGTAGTGATTTCTCACAAAAGCATCCTTGAGCTTACGTATTTCATGACATCTTCTCTTATCCAGCAGTGTCAGAGCAGTCACTGATCGCACTGAGTGTGTGACGATCTTAATACTTTTTAGACATTTGAGGGACCATCATTGCCAGCCAGTTCCCACCTCCAGATATCATGACTTTGAGTGTTAGAGATACAGCAGCTGTATATTCAGGAGATGTAGAAATTCAGCTTATAGCAGCTCTGGTATGGCTTGATTCAATTAGAAAGCTGGACTTGCAGACTAGCAGTTTCACTGGGGATAGATCTGGCCTCAGGACCTATCAATGTCTACATTGCTTCATGGATTTAATGGTGCCTCATCTGGGACTTTTAAGAATGAAAATTGCACCTTAAGACACCTTCATGAGTATACCTGCACCCAATAGATATGTGCTTTGAATCTGCCTGAGTCCTACACTGAGAAAACAGGACTGCTCCATTTGCTTGCTTCATTGATTGACCTGAAAGACAGAGTTAATCAGAGGAGACACAGAGATAAGTATTTTTATTGGCTGCCACTGGTTCATTTCCCAAATGTGACCATAGCAGCCAGCTTTGGACCAGGAGAAAAGTAAGATCCAGGAACTCCATCCTGGTCTCCTAAATGGGTGGCAGAGAACCAAATAGTTGGGCCATCTTCTGCTGCTTTCCCAGGCACATTAACAGGAAGCTGAATTCAAAAAAGAGCAGCTGAAACTTAAACTAGCACTCCAGTAGAGGGTACAGGTGTTTCAAGCAATAACTTAAGCCGCTGCAGTACAATATGAGCCCAAAACAGAATGGTTAGAATACCAAAGCTTAAAATCCCATGGTTAGGTGGCAAGAAAACTTTAGGAATTCATATAGGATTTGCCATGTTCTCTGTGATAATAACTGTCAGGGAAAGCAATGTAATCAGCTAGTGACCAAAGAACAGGAAACCTACAACTGTGCCCAACAGGCTCGTTGGAAGGTATCAGAAGTTGAGCCTCTAAGGACAGCAGATGAGCTTGGGGTCGAAGAATACAGAGTTTTCAGAATCTAGTTGACTGGCTAACGCAAGGGGATTGAGCATTGAAGTGTTGTGGTACACTATAAAAGATATAAAGTAGGACAAAACCCTGTATCAGAAAAAAGAATACAGCAGAAGGAAAAAAAAGTCAAGGTGGAAAAAATAGAAGGAAATAGAAGTTCGGAATAAAAATGAAGATGGAAAGAGAAACAGAGAACATCACCTGCAGATACAAAGCTATCTTCTTACCACTTTGTGAACACATCAGGAGCGAGAGGAAGGGAGTTATGAAACTAGGAAAGAACTTCCTGCCCCCCCTTTTTTTCCCTTCACTTAGAAATGAGCCATACGTCTGAAAAAATAGTTAAACTCCACACCATGTTTCATGGGAAATGAGCCTAAGCCAAAATTGACTTTCCTGGATATAATGAATGCATGCCACAAAGACACACCTATAAAACAGGGAAATCTCTAACCTAATGTTTCAAAACAGGTAGAATAAAATTAAGAAAACCGTAAGAGTAATGTAAAGCAACATATAATGTGAGAAACAAAATGAGGTGTTAATGATATGGAAGCAGAATGTGATAGAACTCAGGAAAAGATATAGAAGGACATATTTCAGAAGTAGCTACTCTAGAAGCAATTTGAGAAGGTGTATAGATAATGTGTATAGATGAATGCCTTAATAAAATCAAACTTGGGGACTAGCAAAATATATGAGCAGATATCAGATATTGATGAAGGTAGTGGAGATACTGAAGGTAATAAAAGTAATAGTAACATTGCAGCAGAATAAATGCTATCAATGATGAGCCAGAAGATCTGAAATGAAGTATATATAGATTCTATTGGTGTACTGCATAGTTGGCCAAATTAACACAGGATAACTAATACCAAAAAGTTAAATGATCCTACTTTTTAAAAAAATGCTCTTTGAGCATCTACATTAAATCAACAACTAATACATCGCCCACAAGAATGTTATCACGACTTCAACAGCAACAGCTTGTCAGAAGACCATATTTAAGGCAATCAAGTAAGGAAAATGTGACCAAATGATTTTTAGGCCTAGCTTAATTAAGGTTTGAGTATAAAGACTGCAGGCACAAAAACAAAACCAACCGAAGCCAACAAACATCCAAGAAATAGTTCTTCTCAAGGAATCTAGTAGAAAATAAAATGTATACAATGAATTTGACTGTGAAGACACAGATAAAAAAGATTGATGGTGAGCATTAATTATGTATTAATATTCATCTATAGATATAATTCTGAATAATGAGAGTCAGAGTTTGACAGTGTATTCTGACAATATAGGCCTAGTACAATTCTTTAAGAAAATGGGAAGATTAGAGAGGGTGTATGAAAAATAGGTGATTCATTGTGTAGTGTCTACTTAGTGAAATGTTACCACTTCAGATGTTGAGAGAAAGGCAGAAAAAAGCCATCACTGACTCAGCTTTACACATCACTGCTAAAGGAGCCACAGGCCGTTGTATGAAGGGTCTATAGTGCCATCAGAAGGTATGAAAGTTCTGGCTTGGTAATAGCAGAGCGCAGGAGAAATGAGCTCCTGTGAGTGAGGAGCTGTGACAACAGAGAGAGAAGAGATGCCTAAGAAAAGAAAGATAAGCTGTTCACTAGCACTGCACAGGGGTGCAGGGCCATGCAGTCTAGCGGTAAATACCCCAACATCTCAGTAGCCCTTCAGGCCATGTTGATTTCAGTTAGTGCCAGTTGCCCAGGCATCACAGCAGTGCAACAATGCAAGGGGCAGTCTGCAGGCTCCATGATGGAGAAGGGCCAATTAAGGCAAGGCACACAACAGACCCTGCATGGCTGGCCGGAGGATATTATTCTCAGAGACACACCCTGGGAACCTGCAGACTTCAACATAAGGTCTTAGAGTGAAAATCAATGATTCCAAACTTTGACAGAGATCCAAATTAACATTTAGAAATCCAATTGAGGGGATCACTTGGTTTCTTTAATTTACACATTAAATGCTAAGAAACACTTTTTAGAAGATGCACACTGCAGACTTTTTCAAAGTGTAAATGGAAGAGCATTTAAATGGCTTTTAATTCCCTTAATCTCAGATATTCCAGTGGAGGTAACAATCCTGCAAGATTCTTCTTTGAAGGAAGAAGGAGGGACAAGATGAAAGGCAGGGAAGGACCATTTTAGGGGACTGGATAATCAGTTTACCTTGACTTTGAAAGTGAGAAAGAGAAGCTTAAAAAATGTATAAGATTACTTTATTCTACAATGTTGATGGAATATATATGCATATATAAATGTATTCCATTGTTTTCCTATGAAGTGAACTAAGTGAATTTATAATCTCTAGAATGAGGGAGTATAAGAAGCAAAGAAGGTAAATGAAAATATTGATTATATATGTTACGAATTTTCAGAGTTATTTTACTTGTAAGAAAGGATAAGTGTGTGTGTGTGTGGGGGGGGATTGGGTGAGTTCATCCAAGGATTTGGTTTCTGAAAGTATGCTGAAATATTTATTATCTGCAGCTAGGAATGAAATGATTGGGAAGACTTGTTTGCATGAGCATGCTTGCAATTGTAAATAAAATCCAGATCCCTCCCTTCCTTTCTTTCTTTCTTTCTTTCTTTCTTTCTTTCTTTCTTTCTTTCTTTCTTTCTTTCTTTCTTTCTTTCTTTCTTTCTTTCTTTCTTTCTTTCTTTCTTTCTTTCTTTCTTTCTTTCTTTCTCTTTCTTTCTTTCTCTGTTTCTTTCTTTCTCTGTTTCTTTCTTTCTCTTTCTTTCTTTCTTTCTCTTTCTCTTTCTCTCTCTCTCTCTCTCTCTCTCTCTTTTTCTGTCTTTCCATGTAAAAATGCTGCCAGGACCATGCTCTTTTGGAACTGTATGTAAGTCCTTTGTATTTGATGTAACAATAAGTGCCTATTTCCTAAAAATCTATATTGCAATGTATAAGTATTACATGAGATTCTTTGCTGAATGTCTCCTCATTGAAATAGCACAAAACAAAACACTGATTCTGAAATACAGTTGTGTGACCAAGCTTGCAGTGTGTCTCGGGTGGATTGGATATTTGCATGGGTGGATATTAAAGAGACACACTTTTGCTCACAGTTATTACATACTCAGCGTCTACAGAGCTCCAAACACATAGAAAACCACGTCTGTTCCCATTCAGCCTAGTGGTTAGGACACAGGTTAAGATCCTTGTATCCGTATGCACATGAGCCTCTTGTGTTTCTCTTTCGTTCTGACATGATGATGTCTGTGCAAAAAAGCACTTTCCTTTCTGAAAATATACATACAGCATAGACACACATAGTACAAAGTCTCAGTATCTTGAAGGAGACTTCCAACGCTGATATTCACTGCTTTCTGGCAATGAATGCATGCGATCTGTCAGTGTCAAGGACAGCTGGAGGCTTAGAGGCACTGTGAGATAATTAGCTCCTGTATTAATGAGAACAGCTGCGCCTTTGGTGATTTTTGGTATAAAATGTATATTTGCATTGTGTGGTTAAAACAGCATAGCTGTCTAAATCTGATCAGTGGAAAACTGATATTTACAGGGAATGTTCACCACATTCCCTGTAAATATCAGTTACCAACATTCACTTCTCAATAGTTATTTCCAAAGCCTTTTCCCTCACGTGTTTTCATTGATCCTAATTCCCCATTTCATTGCTTTGGCCCTTGGCTTAGCTAGACCCGAGCTTCTGCCTTGTTAAAAAACCCTCTTAACGAAAACATGAATCTCGTGCTTTCAGTTTCAAACCATTGGGTACCTCTTTTTCTATTTCTACATTGTCTACTTCATGACGCTTATTTGTTTTTATTAGTATATTATTTTTTAAAACTTGCATCATTATTTGTATGTTAATAGTTTAGCTCTTTCATTTATCCACCATTTTGTACTGTGTAATCTATTCTTTTGAGAGGGAGTGCTGTATATTCGGTACATAGTGATTGGAGGACTAGAGTCTATTGCTCCCTCGCCCCCGTTTTAAAACAAAACTTTTATTTTATTATTGATGATGTTTACATAGTTGATTAGAATGGGAAGGATCAAGGATTATGGCAAAGTGGGTGAGGCCATTGTTTGCAAATTATCTGTTTCTTCTTCCTGTATCAGGGGAAGGAGCAGAGAAGGAGAGAAGCCACACCCAGCCTTCCAACCACCTCAGCCTCTGGGAATGGGGAACAGCCACCCTATGTCATTCCAGGGTCCACGATGTGGAGCATGTTCTGAGGGTTCTGCAAAAGTGGTTTTGGTAGTTCTGAAATGCTGTCGGTCTTGCCACTCCAAGGATGAGAATATTTTTCCAAGGTCCATTGGCTGACATAGTCCACCTTAAAGCCTCCATTTGCCCAGATATTAGCTGTCAGTGATGGCTGGGGTAGTTATCCAATCTTCTCATCCTTTGATATGGTACCAGATATTCTCTGCAGGCCCCAATGGACTGCCACATCCTCCATGTGCATTTGGGCATGCCATCCACTGCTGCTTCTAAGCCACTGAGGAGGCCCAGTGTGATACAAGAACTCGATGGTCAGACCATAGATCCAGTGATTCTCCCTATAGTTGGAATTCTAAGTCCAGTGGTTCAGTTGGAGGGATCCCCAAAGAAACCTCGTCTAAAGTGATCCCAGACCTGACTCTTGTGTATGTTTGCCAATACAGAGTCCAGCTCTGTCCATTACCCACATCAACCTCTCCACACACTGGTAGTTACAATTGATGGATCAGTTCTGTATCCAGCCCCTTCTCTTACATAAACCAATGGATGCTGTGGCATAGTCCAACCCTGTCCACTACACACTCAGCCCTTATGTACAGTACAGTGGGAACTGCAGCCTAGTCGGGGCAGCTCCCAGTAACCCTCACTAGGCTTAGGCCCAGCCCTTGTTCCTGGGCTTGCCAGTATGGGTAGCAGACTGGTTTGGTCTGTCCCATATTCCATTCAGCTCTCATACATGTCAATGGGCATTGAAGCCTAGCTCAATTCAACTGACCCCATATCCCTCCCACACTCATACTTGTGGGTGCTACTGCCTGTCTAGCTGGGCCTACCCCCAGACCTGGTTCTCATGCTCACCAGTGGGAGTTGCAGCCCATCAGAGATGCCCACAGTTTCCCTCCTGGACCACTCCAAGTCCTAGATCTTGCACTTTCCAGGTGATTATGCAATCTAGCTTTACAGGATTTGCCTCCAGTCCCAACCCTTGCCAGTTGATGCTTGGCAAAGCCCAACTAGTCTGCTCTTATTCTGGTCTATGCATGCACCGATGGTTTTGGACAGCTAGCTCAGCCTGGTTCTCCCTGTAACTCAGTTGACACGCAGGCCAACAGGTGTTGTAGCCCTGCCCATCTTGGTCTGCCCCCAATCCCTGTTCTCACATTCACCAGTGAGAACAGTGAGAGTAGTGGCCTAGCAGGGGAACCCCCCCCGTCCACCGCAGTCCTCCTTTCGGGTTCACACCAGCCCTCCCATCCCCAACACCTCCCCTACCTCCCAGGTCTCACATGTGCTGGTGGGTGCTTTGGCCCAGTCAGGCTGTGGCCCACCTCACCTCAGCATTTGCTGCTGGTTGGTGCAGCTTGGCCTGGCCTAGTCTGTCCCTGGTTCCAGCTAATGCTGGTAGGTGCTGCAGCCTAGCCCAGCACAGCCAGCCCCTAGTCCTGGTCCTGATGTGAACTGGCTGGTATTGCAGCCTGACCCAGCTTGTCCTTCACCTCCTGGTTCTTAATTTGCCAGTGGGTTATGAACTGGCTCAGCCTGGCCTGCCACCAGACCTGACCCACAGGTATGATAGCAGGTAACCTAGCCTGGTCTGGGCTACTCCCAGCATTGGTTCTTGTGCTCACCTGAAGGAACTGCATCTTGACAGTTCTCTAGACTCCATCAGGTCTCCCTTTTAAGTCTACCACTGTGGGCAGGAACAGTCACTTTGTGCACTTTAGGGAAGTGCTTAAGCTGGGAGTTGGTAGAAGTGAGTGTCTGAATGGATCTGTTTGGAGTGATCTGAATGGAATCTGTTTAAGTGTTGTGAAAACATGATGCAGATGAATTCTCCTGCAGCAAAAATGGAGAGAAAGGAAAAAAATGTCTGGAATGTCAGTCTTTGTGGGGAATTGGAGGAGAGGAAGCCAAGAAAGCTGAGTTCCAGTGCTGGCACAGAGGAAAACCCAAAGAGGGAAAAAGATCACCAAGGAATTGGTGCAAGAGAGAGCTAAAGCAATAACCAACTGGTTAAACAGGATGGGATTTGGTATTAAGGCAAACGGAGCCAAAAAAACATGTCAAATGACAAGGGACAGAGGAAAGAGCAGGCGGAGAACACAGCGAGCTTTTTCCTCTTTGGTTGGATGAGCACCATCTTTGGGAGTTTGTGGCAGCACTAAAGCGAAAACAACACCCCACACTGGTGCAGACAAAGCCACCCTACACTCTGTGTCATCCCTTATGCCCGCCCCCGTTCCCACTGCTGGTGTGACTTCTTCCAGCTCCCTACAACAGCAAGCAAATGCAAAAAAAATATAGGAAAGTCATTGTCATCTTGAAGGCCATTTCCCTGCGTAGGAGTATATTGCATGGGTCAAGGCTATGTCTCAGCACGTTTTCTCTTCAACGTTGAAGTCAACAGGAACGGCATTAGGGAACTACCTCTGATATTTCTATATGGAGTCAAAGCAGAAGTTCTTTAAGTAGGCAAGAGACCAGAGAAGGAGAAAGATCTGGGATCATCCAAGGTCAAAAACGTAGTGCAGACTTTACAAATTGTCTTGGCTTAGAGAACCAAGGCCCAGCCTTGCCAGTGGGGTGGCAACGTTAGTTTCCTAGACTCCTCTTCCAATTGGTTCCCTGCCCCTGTGATGTGTGTGTGTGTGTGTGTGTGTGTGTGTGTGTGTGTGTGTGTGTGTGTGACTATTTCTGCACACTCTGATAACATGCTTTGCATCATCTGTCTTTGTTTTTCTCCATCAGGGAGCCGAGAGAAAAATCCGTGATGAAGAGAGAAAGCAGAATAGGAAAAAAGGGAAGGGCCAGGCCTCCCAGACCCAGTGCAATAGCTGTGAGTTCCACGTAGCCTGACTTTGCTTTTTCAGGGAGATCTTTCAGGCAATGGGGGCCCTTTAGGAAGCAGGTGAAGAGCTATACAAGCCTCTCCCTAGTGTGCGAAGGGGAGGGTTGTTCCTGTAACAGCAAATAGAATCACTTGAGCACAGGTTGTCTGTGCAAGGAGGGATTTTGATAACACACAGGCAAGTGTGCTCCTGCAGACACGGAATCTGGGGCACACGGGGGTAAGGTGTGAGAGGTCTGGCATCATGGGCACTGATCAATGTACATTCAAGTATTTCTGACAGCTTTGATAGGGCTCGGGGGAGGGATATTTACATGTGATTGCACCATGTTGCCTGGAAGCTTCACAGGAGAATCTTATGAACTTGACCTGCATCAGGCTTACAGTTGAGAGTTTGTAGTCTTACATAACTTTCACATTGATTGGTTTTGTGATCGTCTGCAGCCTCTGATGGGAAGTTGGCTGCCATCCCTCTACAAAAGAAGAGTGACATCACCTACTTCAAAACCATGCCGGATCTGCACTCACAGCCTGTTCTCTTCATACCTGACGTGCATTTTTCAAACCTGCAGAGGACTGGACAGGTAGGTCCTACCTTCTGTCATTCACTTGTCACCATCTGCAGGGCTGCTAGGGGTTTAAGATAGAAGCACGTGAGGCTGTGTGGATCCCAAAAGTAAAGCCCACTTACTATTCATGAAAGGTAAAGTTAGAAGATGGAGCTTTACAGAAAGGAATGTATCAGGAGAGTGAGTTAACATTGGCCAAGTGTGAACTAGGCAGTGAGAATGAGGGTTAGAGGGCCACTGACCTTTAAGATTCCTTTTGTTAGCCCTGTCCTGTGGGATTAGATTGATGCTGTAGGGCACCACCTAATGGTGGTAAATATAGTTGCATCTATAAACTATTTGCGCAAGGAAAAAGTATTTTATTAAGTAAAACCCCAGAAAATTAATAATAATTTCCACTGCACAGGAAAAATCACTTATATCAAAAGAAGTTAAATTTTTAAAAAAGTCTCACTTAAAAACTTTCTATCTTCTAGATGTATCTATGAGTGAAATGAAAAATCTAAACTAGCATATGTTAGAAGCCCAGATTGATGGACTATTAAGCAGTTACTAAAATTTCTAAATGGAAACTATATAGCAGTCTGCACTAGTTTGATAATATTCAGGGAAAAAAATACAAAACCCAAGCAGGCTGCTTGTTCCACTTGGGACTCAGCAGCGAGATGCAGACAACTGTGTCGGGGCCTCAGGCAGCGAGGAGGGGAATGATGAGGCTGCCTTAAAGGAAACTAGCAAAATTCCAGCCAGCCATGGCCAATGGATGGTTCAGCCCCCTCTACAAGCATTTCAATGGTGGGTCCCACTTCTAATACATCACAATGGCTTATTCTGGATGTCGCACTGACTCTTGGGATAGAGAAAGCTCAACTTACTGTGGTGGCTGTCTGTTGAAGAAACAAAGTATATAATGACACTCATTAAAAAAAATATATGAGGAAAATGTTCCTGTAGAAATCTGTGCCAATGGCTAGGCTGACTCATCCACAGCCGGTTCCGGGTAACCTGTTCTGTTATATAACCAAGTGCTGGGCTTGGCGGCCTCCCAGGGCTGCCATGAGCCTTTGAGTGAGACTGTAGGGAAGTTGTCTGGGGATAGCTCCTTGTCGTCCAGGCTGGGGCAGGACTGTGCACTAGAATCTAAGTGTGCAAATATCTGATACATACCCTTTCCTATCACATGCATATGATTCTGAAGCCCCAAAAGAGCCCACAAGTCTTAGAAATTTTATGTAAATGGCCAGTCCCCTCTGAATATCCCCCTCGATTCATGAGATAGTGAAGAGGATGTGTCATTTGTCAGTTGTGATCTGAAGAAGCCTGTCTTCGGAGATTTTCCTTCTGATCAGACACAGCTTCCACACTGAATGCTGTTTCCCGCTCTACCAACAGTCAACTCCCATATTTCTGTGGTGTAATCCAGGCCCCCTTTGGAGAGGAACTGGGGTGGTGTGGGGGGCTTCTGGTCCCCTCCCCCAACAGCACAGTTGTCCAGGACTGTGAGCCAAGTGGGGTGTGTGACACACAGACCCTGCTTTAGGAGCTTGCCTGCACACACTGATTTCCTTAGCGAATACGTTCCAGGTCCTGCCAAAACATTGATGTCAAAAGCAAGATGTAGCTGAGGGCTACAGGTAATCCCATCATGCCGACTTCAAGTAGAAATTATCAAATTTCCAAACTTCTCTGCCTAAATTCTAACTGTTAACTCGGGAAGACTGGGAGGAGGGTCTTAGAAACACAGGCAAATCGACATCCGGAAACAGTGTTGTTGTTTGTATTTTTAGAAGAGACCTTTTATGCCTTAGGAAATCTGTGCATCATGTATCACATTCTCCCCCCGCCCCCGTTTCTGGTGTGTGTCTGACTGAAGCTTGTTGTTTATTCCACAGGTGTATTACAACACGGACGATGAGCGGGAAGGGTAAGATGGCTTTTTTTTTTCCCACTTCATCACCAGAAGCCAGTTATGTCCCTGGACTTGGCCCTGGGCAGAAAGTAGGACCATCATTTTTGTTGAGGACTCAGCTGAGAATGGCTTGATTTCTGGAAGGGAGGCTGTGGGAGGAACTTCCTCCTGCTATAAGCCGCTTTCCACCTCTTGGAGACCTCTGATCTGAACAGGCACCCGCTTTTGTGAGTGGCCCACCTCTTCTGTTTCATTGCTCCCACCGGTGCTAACATCTTCCAGAAAGCTCTTTCCCGTCCATTATCAGAGCCTAACTGTTCTTGAAGCGAGAGCTAAAAGTGGCAGTTCTTCTGCAGTCATATTACATGGGCCTCCCACCCTTTTTATCCAAGCCCTCACTTTCTCACTTTTTTCCCTGTGGTCCGTGGCCACTTTGCATGGGAGCCAGGAACTTGTCACTGTCTTCTAGAATTGTAAATTCAAGTAGGGTCATACAGACCAATACCTCATGCTCCAAGTCTCTGAACAGCAGTGATGGGATATGGTGCCATCACTCTTTCTGTCTAAGATTTATGCCCCCATGAACAGGGTCTTACAGATGTTCAGGAGTACCCAAAACTTCACAGACCCTCCCGTCTATTGGCTCCTTTGATGGACTTGAAAAGTTAAAAAGAAGGAACCTTCCAGGTTATGTAGTTGACCTTCTTGCCTAGGAAAGGTGAATCTGTACCACATTTTCATCACATGCTCAGCCGGCCCCCACTTGGATGTTTCTACCAGGTCAGAGGGCTCATCACACTGTTGGGGAATATCTTTGTCAGAGTGATGTGTATTCTCTTGGGACTTCTCTCCATCATCTGTACCTCTGCTCTCTGGAGAAGTCGCATCCTCCCTCATCATGCAGACACCCCTTTCTCTAACTGTGATTGGTAAAGTATGGTTTTGCCTCTCAACATCTTAGTTTCCCTCCCAGGGAAACCAGCTGAATCTTTTTTGGTGTCCTTAAAATTAACCTTTGGAATAAACGTGTGTCTGAACCAACAAGCATTGCAGATTGTATTGGGGTGGTTTCTTCATATAAAATAAAGACCTTTTTTGGTTTGTTAAAGCAACCTGGAGCTGCATTCCTCTTTTAAGTTTTATTTTTATTGGAAAGTCAGATATACATAGAGGAGGGGAGACAGAAAGGAAGATCTTCTGTCCGATGATTCACTCCCCAAGTGGCTGCAAAAGCTAGAGCTGAGCTGACCCGAAGTCAAGAGTCAGGAGCTTCTTCCAGGTCTCCCATGTGGGTGCAGGGTTCCAAGACTTTGGGCCGTCCTTCATTGCTTTCCCTGGCTACAAGCAGGGAACTGGATGGGAAGTGGGGCTGCTGGGATTAGAACCAACGCTCATATGGGATCCCAGCACAAGGTGAGAGCTTTAGCTGCTAGGCTATCGTGCTGGACCCTGTATTCATTTTTAGTATCTATTTTATGTTCTTGGTTTGCCTTATGTATGAGTTGATGTAACGGAAATTATTAGATCTTTTTTTTTTTAAAAAAAAAAACTAGTCAAAACAGCACAATTCTATTCTTAGGTAATTAACATGTTTACTTGTAAAACATTTCAATTTTGAGGAAGTAAGTGCAGCAGATAGATATTGCTGAGATCAGAGGTTGACAGACTATAGCATGGGGACCAAAGCAGGCCTACCATCTGGTTCTGTGTAGTCTACAAACTAAGAGCGCTTTTTATATTTTTCATTGGTTGGGTAAAAAAAAGTTCAAGATAAGAATAATATTGCATGACGTATACAAACCGTATGAAACCCAAGAGTCTATGAACAAGGCTTGATTGGAACCCAGCCATGTCAATTCCTGTATGTACTGTGTCTGCTTCAAGGCTACAGCGGTGGAGGTGACTAATTACAGCAGACAGCATGGCCGGAAAAGCCGACAGATTTGTTGTCTGGTCTTACACACACAGGGTTTGCTCCTTCTTCATAAAGAATAGAGAATCTCAAAGGAATTGAAGTCTTCTCCCAGCTGGATAGGGACAGCGACTTATCTAAGGCCTTCATCTTTATATTTTGAGGTCTGAACTTTCTAGGTATCTAATTATTAGATTGTTCTTTTTGTCTGGGCACATAGGTCATATCTTTTCAGTGCGTGGAATGAACAGAAATCAGTGGCATTTTCAATTCTGATGTGATATTCAACTATTTTATAAGGGATGGGCATATACTGTTATGGAAGAAATTCTGACTTCGAATTTGCGGGACCTGACATGGAACTTGCGGTTCCATGCCTGGACTGCTGCTTCCTAAAGAGGAACCTTGTTAATATCCCAGGATCTTGAAGAGTCCATCTGGGACTAACATCTTGTTATTCTCGTGGGAAAACATGGCTTTCTGAATTACAGTCTGAGTACTCCTTGGTAATAGACTGTGGTTGTGAGTCTCGCAGAGTTCTTCCTTGCACACTGTTGATTGACTTGCCATCTCATTGACGTGGCCCCTCTGTGATAACTACGCTGTGTGACCGCATGACCATGAGAACTGAACTCTGACTCACCTTACACATCAGACTTTGAGCAGTCTGGACTGCATCGTGTCTTCACATACATGGTGGATACTTGTCATGTATGGATGTAATTGTTCATCTTTGCTAGGTGCTCATTGCTGTATATGCATCATCTTAATGAATTGCTCTCCTCAACAATGTAACAGGATTTGAGAAGCCTAGAGATTTGTTAGAAGCCATATAGCTACTAAAGGATAGAGTCAAGATTAGATGGAAAAGCCAGTTGTACTTCTCATACATGCTTTAACCATTCTGCCCTATTTTCTAATGCTCTTAATGCTTGACCTGTAGATGCCAGGGAGGCAGCAGGAGCCAGGCCCTCACTAGGAGAGCCTCCTGGCCTTGCCAAAGACATACCCTTGGTTGGCTCATTCTTGGCCGTGTAGGACCTAGATTGTTACAATCTCATGTAAGTGTATTTGTCAGGAGGATCAGATAGGATGCTGTGTGCATTCCCTTATCCCTAGGGAGCACCAGCTCCACTAGAGTTGGTGTAACTTCCCTCTGGGCTGCTCTCTGACCACTTTCTTCACACCACCAGCCAGACATAGTAATATTTAAATGAGAGCCTCTGCAGGAGTGTTGAAGGCATCATTGTCAAAATGACCAGATGGAGGGTGTACCATATAAGAGCACCTTTCTTGGCAACCTGCAGGTTTGCCAACCCCCTGAAACGAAATGTAAATGTCACACATGATGGGCAGTTCTTCTTGCATTATTTTATGGACCTGGCCTCCGTCTCCACCTGGCTTATGGTTTCTAGGAAACCCCTCTCATCCCTGATGCTTCCCACTTAGGTTTGCATGTTTCAGCCTGATGTTCTCTTCAAGTCTTATAGTTCTATGGCTTCTTCCCTCCATCTGGGGATGAGAGTTCTTGGTGAGATGTCCCTTCATTTGAAAACAGTCATTTCCTTCTAAGACCCCACCACTCCCATAGTATGTTAGCTGGGGACCCTGGCCCTCAGTCTTCTCCAAGAATTTCTCTTCTCCCCAAAGCTACACTGCCATCTTTCTTAGTGCTATCTCACCTAGGACACAGATGCCAGAGAAAAAATATACGTTGGGAATGCCAACCCTGCAGGTTGCTTATATACCAGATCAGAGAATTGACTCATTTCTTTGAGAAGTGGCTTCATTCCCCAGACTCCAGCAGTGAAAACTCTCTGATCTGTAGGAGGGAATCTTCTAGATGCTGACAGATCAAATCAGGAGCTCAGCACAGCTTCCCAGGAAAAAGAGAGCAGTTCTGGATGCTTGACTCCCAAGGAAGCAGATACTCTGGCTAAAATGCAATCAATGGACTTCAGTGAAGTTAGAATCTTAGCAACTTGGTAAAGTTGAGTGGATTACGTCAACATAGTGTTAAACTCAAGAACGCGTCACACTGCATTCATCAGTGGTCTCATGAGGTTACAAATATCAATTCACGTACAATCCTGCACTGTTTGTCTTAAAGAAGCAGTCTCCCAGAGATCCAAGTATTTATTTTGCAGTTGCTTGTAGGGCAGTCATCTGTCTTATTGTTGTTTCTTTGAATAGAATATTTCTTCGTCCTCTTCTTTTCCTTCCTTCTCTCTCCTGCTTTTAAGGCTGCCTTTTTATTAGAGTTTCATAATTTGTAATATGATATTCATGTGTATCAGTTGTCTTTATATATTTTCCTGCTTGATATTTTATAGTATTTGCTGAGTCTGTTGATGTCTATTAGCTTTTGGTACATAATTAGCTGCTATCTCTTCTAATATCATTTCTTCCTGTTTTCTCTCTTTCCTTTCCCCTACTAACTGGGACTCTAAATGCACATTGAAATATTTCATTGTGACCTTGTGTCTTTTATGTCTTTTTCTGAATTTCCTATATTCCCACCTTACCATGCTTCAGCCTAAATATATATTTTTTAATTTCTAAAATTTTTAAAATTATTTTCCATGATGTGACTTTGTAAGTATAGGGATTTCTCCCTTCACCTTCCCTTCCTCCCTTCCTAATCTCACCCACCCTACTGTTTTCCCTCATATTATTGCAACCATACAGTCCTTCAACAATAGTCACAAGTTCAACATTCTTCTATTTAACTGTATTATGGCACTGTAGGTAATGGCAATGGCAGAAAGTCTAGTATCATATTGTCAATGTTTCCTCCTTTCATTCAGGAGTAGAGATGTATACTGCAATGTATCTTCACTTCCCAGTATGCTAGTCTTCATTGTATAGTTTGTCTGTGAGAATATCTGTATATACAGGTATACCTATATATCTATTTATTTTTTATTTTGCATGAATGTTGCCTTTTATCAGAGAGAACATATGTCATCTGTCCTTTGGAGATTGCCTTATTTCACTGAGTGTAATGGTCTGCAGTTGGGACCATTTTTGTTGCAAATGGTAGAATTTCATTCCTTTTAATGGCTGAGTAGTATTCTACAGAGTAGATGTGCTACAGTTTTTGTACCCATTCCTTTTGCAATAGGCATTTGGTTTTTTTTTTTTTTTTTTTTTTCCGTATCTTCGCTATTGTGGTTTGTACTGCTATAAATATAGCATTGTAGGTCACTTTCTCAAATGCAGATTTCAATTGCTTTGTATATATTCCCAGGTGTTAGGTAGCTAGGTCATATGATAAATCAGTTTTCAGTTGTCTTAACACTCTCCTCCTGACTTCTGTAGTGGCTGCGCTAGCCTACACTCCCACCAGCAGTGGAGTAGGCCATCAAGTGCTGTTAGTAGAGTTCCAAATGTAAGCTCATTACACCAGAGTTATATGGAACCTCAATGTGGTTTTCATTTGTATTTTCCTAATTGCAAGGGAGCCTGAGCATTTTTTCACATGTCAATTAGCCATTTGAATGTGTCCTTTTGAAAAATACCTACTCATTTCCTTCACCCATTTCTTCACAGGGTTATTTTGCTGTCATTTTTCTGAAGCTCTTTATAAATCCTAGATGTTAGTCTCCTATCTGTTGTGTAGTGTACAAAGATTTTCTCCCATTCTGTTGGTTGCCTTTTAGCTTGGTTGATCCTTTCCTTTACTGTATAGAAGTTTCTTAGTTTGATGTAGTCCTATTTGTTTATTTTGGCTTTGACTGCATGTGCTTTTGTTGAAGAGACCAGGGCTATTTTCAGTTCTCTTATCAAAGATTTGTTGGCTGTACGTGTGTGGGCTCACTTCTAGGGCTTCTATTCTGTTTCACTTCTTTGATTTTGTACAAGTACCAGACTTTTAATGACCACTGCCTGTAGTATGTCATGATTCTTCCAGCTATTGCCCTACCTTTCTTCTGTTCAACTCATCTGTTGAAGTCTTAACTTCATTTATCATACTTTTTGTCCTAGGGTTTCCACCTAATTGCTTTATTTTGGGGCCTGTGATTTTTTTTTTTTTAACCGATTTCAGCTCTGTATATGTGGTCATCTATTTTCATGAACATGTTCATCAGAATTATTTTTAACTATATTTGATAACTGCTCTAGTTGTGTTATCTACAGGTCTTTTTCTATTGTCTGTTTTACTGATTGCATGGATTGGGTGGCAGGTAATGTCAATGAGATGTAGGGGCTCTGGGGAACCGTGTGTTTACCTTGTTGAGGCTTTCCCTTTTGGTGTGCAGTTTGAGTGGGTGCAGATCATTCACTGTATGCAACCGATTCTGGGACAGAAGAGACTCAAGCCTGCTCTGCAGTTTGTGTCAGCTTCAGACATTCTCTGGCTCATCCTAAGGCTGCAACCCTGAAGGGTTTAGGAAGGGTCACCTTTCCTGGTGTGGCCTAAAATCTGACTTTCGTCTCCCAGAGTATGGTAAGATGAGAAGGCTTCTTGCTATTCAAGAACTTTCTTAGGCACTTGTCCTGTGCAGTGTGAGAAACTGGTAAATATCTCCACAGACACACCGCAGGATCTGGCTCATTTCTCTGTGCCTCCCGACTCCCTCAAGCTCCAAGTCCTCAGACCCTTTACAGCCTAAAGCCTAATATTTGCTTCTCTAACTCTAGGAAATTGCCACAAGCAATGAAAGTTGCTTTGCTTTTAGGGTTGTGCTTCTGCTGGGATGATTTTCTTTTATAGCTCAGCCAAACATTAGTAAATGTTTTCAGGAGAAAATTAGCCCCTGCTTATGCCCTTGGTTCTACATGGTTTTCTTCTCTCAGTTCTCAGCTCACGTTCTGGCTGCCTCTTCAGCTGCTGGCTCATCATGATTTTCTTTTTTAACTTAGACACACGTTTTTAAGTTGCTTTTGGCTGAATCATTGGTCTACCACAAATGTAGCATTTTAGAACAGTACTTCTGGGGCATGCTAACCTTGTTATTCTTGACTTGCAATTTTGAACTCACAACAGGAATAGTAAATCCACATTTAAAGAGCATTTATTTATTTGGAAGTTTTACTTTGAAAGAAAGTGAATGAGTTGAATTCAGAGGCCCAAACTTCCTGACTTCTACTGGATTCATAGATCTGAAAGTGTGGGGAAAAAATGTTTCATTCCTTCAGGGAGATACGGTGTGTCCTGGCTCTGACTTTCACATGGTCAAGTTTATCATGGCTTGGAACAAGGTGCTCTCAAAAGTCCACAGAACTGGAGGAATATAAATAAATCTTGCCCGATAAAGAAAGAAAACCAGTGGGTTGGAGATGCTGGGACAACACAAGAAAGTGCCTTATGACATTGCAGATGGTTTATTTGGTTACAATAGACTGGCTGCTTACTGCTGTATGCACCTGTTTGTAATCTTCTAATCCCCAGGTCATGACCACTCCAGTTCTAGGATGTGGCTGAGTAGCATAACCTGCTTTTTGTGACATTGGAGAGGAAGGCAGAAGGAACAGTGTCCCAAACACATATTGCTACTTCAACTGAAATTTGAGTTTTACGTTTTTATTCTAGTTGATTACATAGGTGATTTTTTTTTTATTTTTTTTTTTGAAAGGTAGATTTACACAGAGAAGGACAGATAGAGAGAAACATCTTTCATCTTCTGGTTCACTCCCCAAATAGCTGCAATGGCTAGAACTGAGCTGATTCAAAGCCAGGAGCCAGGAGCCAGGAGCTTCTTCTGGGTCTTGTATGTGGGCACAAGGTTCCAAGGCTTTGGACCATCCTCCACTGGTTTCCCAGGCCACAAACAGGGATCTGCATGGGAAGTGGAACAGTTGGGACATAAACCTGCATGGAGTGCCAGTGCTTGTAGGTGGAAGATTAGCCTGTTGAGCCACCATACTAGCCCTGAGGAGATGATTCTTCATATATTGTCTCATTCCCTCATTCATTGTTGTCTCACCCTACTGTCACTTTGTCATGAGGTCATTTCGCCCAGAGCAGTGAGCTCATTAGCTCTAGCACCCTGCACAAGGCCCTTAACATTTCTAAGTCTTTGGACGTCATTGAAATGGGATAGAAGTGATCCCTGCCCTGGCTGGTTCACAGCATTCATGGAACTTAAGTGACCCAGATGTATATTTCTATAACATCTGCAGTTTTATTAAGGATTTTGACTGATTGATCTCTCTGTGGGTTAGCAGGAGAATGAAAAGATAAATCGCAACATTTTTAATAGTTTAAGCTCTTAGAATATAAAGAAATAGACTTAATAGACTCTCTACAGTTTTGTACCCTGTGCTCTTTCTACCTTTGGATTCCGTCACTAGCTTGACTTGCAAATTGAGAAGTAGGAGCTGATGTTGTGGCATAGTAGGTTTAAGCCATCTTTGCATCACTTTTGAACACTGGTTTGAGCTCTAGCTGCTCCACTTCTGTCCCAGCTCTCTTATAATGTGCCCAGGAAAGCAGCCAATGCTGGTCAGAGTGCTTGGGCCCCTGCCACCAACGTGAGAGACCTGCATGGAGGTCTGGGCACCTGGCTTTGGCCTGGGCCAGCTCTGGCCGCTGTAGCAGTTCTAAGAGTGAACCAGCAGAAATCTTACTCCCTCCATCCCTCCCTATAACTCTCTCTTTCAACTAAATAAATAAATCTTTAAAAGCTTTTTAATGACAGTAATGTCACTGAGGAATTACAAGCAGGATCTTGGCAGATTTGCCAACCTGAGTCCTTGAATTGGCCCAAGCAGTGACGTGGACACTTTGTTCTCTGTTGGTAACTCTGCCCTGTTCTTGAAATTCTGACCATTCTGGGTGGTCTGCCTTATCTACTCCTCTCCGCTCCTTCCTCGGGTCTCTGCGACTTGTCGTCAGGCCTGTGTGATCACGTCCATCCTGCACTTGCACGGCGCTAACTGTATCAGGGCGACTTGGGTGTGCTTGACATCCATGGATTCACTTAATGCTCTCAAGAGCTTCCTTTTAAAGATAAAGAGGCCGGAGACCCAGGGGAGGTTGAGAAACTTGGCCAAGTTCCCATGGGATCCGTACTAAAGCAAGCTGGCCCCAGAGTTCCTGAATTAACTCAGCTGAACAGCGTATCTTGTATTGCTTCTTGTGTGAGATTTAAAAATTCCTGAAACTCACATCTTGAGGGTTTGTGTTTTCTCAGCAACCATGACTTCTTCCAATTTCTGCCCCTCTCCATCCTTGCCTTCTCTAGGTTCTCGGGCAGGTGGGGGGAGAAGGGAATGCAAAACCCACCAAAACTGTTCTTCCTGGGATATGCAGGGCTCATGAACACCACGGGCTTCCAGTGGGGGAGGACTGAAGCCCTTTCCCAGGAAAGAGGAGACGACTGGGCAACTCAGTTTGGGGTCTTTAATGAACTGAGACTGCTGCAGCCTTGTGTTCTGCAGGCATGCTGTGAGGGGGAACAGCAGAGAGGCCTGAGGGGGAAGGGGAAAGAACATTAAGCCTCAGCTGCGTGGAAGGGGGCTGCTGTGCTGGGTACCAGGGTTTGCTCCTGCTCTCCTCTCCCTCCCCCTGAATCCTGAGCAGGAAGGGGAGGTGTGGGTAGGCAGAATGGAATGAGTCAAAGCCACAGTGTGCACCTGTGGATTTAGCAATGCAGAGCCGATCTGAAGCCTGTATCTTACAGGTCATGTGGATGCTTTCTGCTTCAGACAGTGATGGCTTGGCCTAGCCAGGGAAGCAGCATTGGGGGAATGGATCCTGTTAGGGATGATATAGAAAGGAAAGCAACAGGGCCTGGTGTGTGCATGTGGCCTTGGGTTTGACAGGTGACCAGCTTGACATAATCCTCTCCGTTCATCTTTTGTGTTTTTTCAGCAGCAGTGTCCTTGTGAAACGGATGTTCAGGCCCATTGAAGATGAGTTTGGTCCGGCACCCTCTAAGCAAATCAAAGAAGAAGGGGTGAAGCGAGGTATCTCGAGGGGGCGGGCCATGGTCCTCCCAGCATGGAGGGTAGGGGAGCCTTTTACCTACAAGAGTTTGCTGTTTCTGGCCATGGGTTCTTTCCTTAGCCTTGGGAGAATTGTGAATGCAGGGTCCTATGCCATGATCCCCAGCTGGCAAGGAACAAAGCACAAACATGGTAATGGCTTGGCCAGCAGGACATTGTGCTTTTCAAGATTCACTGTCCTTCCTCCGGCATGTAGCAGATGGTCATTCCCCTCCATGTCCTGCTGCCGCCAACACAGAAAGGGCATACAGAGACCACAGAAGACCACAGACATCCATGCTACTGGGCTTAAGTGACTCCAGTATGCCATTGTTACATAGGGCCACCATCCACATTTCTCATTACGAAGAAATATGACTTTTTTCTCTCCATTGTAAAGGCATTTGAGTGATGGCCCAGAACAAACACACACTGTTGCCTGATAAGCCCCCTTGCAGCTTGCAAAGGTTTTTTACCCTTTTCCTCCAGGGTTCCCATCTAGGAAATGGGGACAGGAGACAACTCTCATCACAGAGTCATCCCGAGGGCTGATGATTAATGCATGTGACATCTGCCACTCAAGTGCCTACTACATACAAGAGGACTTCTGAAAGCTTGTAGAAAAGGGCTTAAAAGATAAGTTTAGAAGCAGGCATTTGGTGTAACCATTAAGGTGATGCTTGGAGTGCCTGCATGCTGTATTACCTGATTCAAGTCCTGGCTCCTGTTCCAGTGCCCCCTGCCAGCTAATGGGCACAGTGAGAAGCAGCAGGGCATCTCTCCAGAGGTTGAGGCCCATGTGGGATACCTGCATTCACCTCTTGGTTCTTCACCTCTGTCTGTCCCAGAGCTGGTTGAAGCAACATTTTGGAGAGCAAAACAACAGATTTTTTTTAAAAAGATTTATCTATTTTTATTGGAAAGTCAGATATACAGAGAGGAGGAGAGGAAGATCTTCCACCTAATGACTCACTCCCTAAGTGATCACAGCAGCTGAAGCTGTGCCATTTCGAAGCAAGGAGCCAGGAGCTTCTTCCAGGTCTCCCACGCAAGCGCAGGATCCCAAGGCCTTGGACCATCCTCGACTGCTTCCCCAGGCCACAGGCAGGGAGCTGGATGAGAAAGGGAGCCACCAGGATTAGAACTGGCGCCCATATGGGATCCCTGTGCATTCAAGGTGAGGGCTTTAGCTGCTAGGCCACCATGCTGGGCCAGGCCCCATAATCTTTTAATTTGATTTTTGCATCTTTTTGAAGTCCGCTTGTAATAAGCACTCTGTTCATCAATATAACTTCAGGTGAGTAAGAAAGGGTGGATAAGTGATTCATGTGAGCGTGGAGTGCCGGAGTGCCACATTAGCATCACTTTATCCTTAACGGATTTTCTGAATTCACCTTGGCTTGCTGTTAGATATTGAAGCATATTAGCACTTCCATTTCTGGGTGTATTTCCTGCTTGACAGCTGAGAATCAGAGAAGTATTAGAGGCAACTCAAGAACCACACAGGCAAACACAATTACCCTTCCCCTCCATCTGCCACGCTTGGCTATAAGAACAGAGACTGTGTGTTTCCGATTATTTTGCGAGTGCAAAACCGCTACAGAAATGGCATTGGAGGCAGTGGCCTTTGAAACAACTAGATTGTGGAGACATGGGAGGGCACTGGAACCTACAAGCCACAGAAAACAAGCAAACAAATGTTTCTCATGGAATGACTCAGGAACAGGACGTCAGAGCTCCTGAGCTCCTTGCTGGAGCTTTCGGTCATTGCCTGTCATTTGTCAGGGTCAAGGTTGGCTCCTAATGTGATCCATTGCAAGTTCCCAGCAGAGAATGAACAAACTGATCACCCCAGCCATTGTTATTGCTTGTTTGGCCTCTGTTGGGGATGCCCTCTGAGGCCACCTGCCTTTGGCTGCACTAAATGTGTATCATAGTTGTCTCTGCCACCATCTGCAGAACTTGGCTCGCTGGGCAGGCTGTTGAGTGTGTACTATGAGCTTGGTGTGCTCTGAGGGTGTCTGTCAGCAGGCCCAGAACCCAGACAGTGTTGCCTGCTCCACCTGGATCCCCAACACTTGGTTCTCTACACCCACATTATCTTCCTTGGGTAATAAACTGTTATCTCTGTTTCACGCGGAGAAACCAAGACTCAGGGAGGTCCAATGTCCAGGGATACAGCACAGGCTGAGCTGGTGCCAAACCCAGCCCTGCTGGTTTTGCATCCTTCTCCACCTACTTGCCAGATGTAATGCTGTCCTCCTCCCTCCTTATGCACCTGTTCCCTTGCTTCCTGCAGTTTGCATTCCTTCTGTACCCATGCCACTACTTACACCAGCACCCACCTGCCCTTCGTAATCCATATCTCTGCTCTCCCTTTCAATGAGACATTTCTGAGCAGCCCCACTCTATTCTCTTTCCAGCAAGGCAAGCACCTCAGCATGCTCTCATGACTTTTCCTTTATAAGCCTCGCTTCTCCCTGTCCACCCCGGCAAGGCTGTGACTTACTAAATCCCTACTACCACCCTGGCTCCTAACACGTGGTCTAGGTGTTCAACAGCATTTATCAAAGGAACAAATAAGCAAAGAGCAGAGGGAGGTGGTGGTCGAAAGGAGTGCCCACCTGATGCAAATGTAATCACATGTTTCCAAAGCCTGCTGAAGCCTGCTTTGTGCTCCCTGGACGCTGGTTTGTGTCTCATTGACTCACTCCTCAGGGGCCCCTTGCCATGGAGGCCCATGTGACTGCCTCAGGCATGTTTGTCAGTGTTGTCTGAGGCTCCATGGGTGATGTCAGCCTGTGACAGCCCTGGAGGTTCAGGGCTCCCATCCATCCTGTTGCTCTCACATTCTCTTTCAGTGCTTCTGTACGTGAGGAAGGAGACGGATGACGTGTTTGACGCTTTGATGCTCAAGTCTCCCACAGTGAAAGGACTGATGGAAGCGGTAAGCCATGCTTCCCTGTGTGTGTGCTTTGAACTGGAATCCACTGATGAAAATGCAACCACCGTCCCCTTTGAGAAAAGGGACTTGCTGAGATAGGTACAGTCTCTGATCGTGATGGCTCATCAGCACCTCAAGGAAGAGGAAACTGACAAACTGCCAGATGCTTGCCGGATGGAGGCTGGTCATGGAAGAGAGTAGGATACAGGGCTCGGGAAGATCTAACAATGAGTGTCCCTGTGTCTGCACAAGCCCAAATGAAATGGCTTTTTATTAGTGATTTGAGTTAAATGAGCTCCCATTTGCTGGATTGCTTGCTAAATGCTTGAAACAGCCAGGGCTGGACCAGGCTAAAACCAGGATTCTGGAACTCAATCTGGATCTCATACCTGGGTCATAGGGACCTAAGTATCTAAGCCCATCATCTGTGGACCCCCGGGGTATACATTAACAGAAAGCTAGAACCTGAAGCAGAGCTAGGACTCAAATTCAGGCACTTCATGATGGGATACGGGTGCCCCAATTGGCATCTTAGCTGTTGTGCCAAATGCCCAGCCCTCCAAATTAGACACTGACTTCCAGACACTGAGCAGAAATGAGGGTCTTTGTTACCTGTGATACTATAATCCAGCAAGAACTGTGATTTCTTGGTTAACAAAATAATTTATTGTAGAATTATAATGATTTCTCCTCCCCCACCCTTTCCACCCTTAGTGTAGTCTAGTACTTCTTAACTCGGACTCAGAAATGTTACTTTGTATTTATTCATATGAGAATATTAAAAAGTTCATAAGGATGGAATTAAAAACAGGTTTATTTTGGTGTGAAAGGCCTTGAAATCCATGCAGAGTTTTCAAAGCATAGATGTTTTATGTTAACTTTTTAAAAAAAGGTTTATTTTTGTTGGAAAGGCAGATTTACAGAAGGCAAGAGAAAAAGATCTTCCATCTGCTGCTTCACACCCCAAATGGCCTCAATTGCCAGGGCTGAGTTGATCAGGAGCCAGGAGCCTAGAGCTTCTTCTGTAATGTCCTCCACTACTTTCTCAGGTCACAAGCAAGGAGCCAGGACACAAAATGGCACCCACATGGGTTGCCAACACTAGAAAGTGGAGGATTAGCCATTTGAGCTATCACCCAGGCCCTTTTATGAACTTTCAAAGTGTCCTGATATTACCCACCTGCATGTGTCTTTGGTTTCTAATTCTTTCCTACATGCTTTTTCTGCCCCCCCCCCTTCCTGACCCTCACCACACATGCACACAACTATGTTGTAACAGACTCAGATCTTTCGGACAGACAGGACTGTGGGCATGGTGCAGTCTTTGAAACAGCATCTTGGTTGTGGGGCCAATGTCCGAAAGTGTGGGATAGCTCTTACAAATGGGATTGTACACCATGTGGTCTCTTGTGGCTGACTGGTTTCATGTGCCCTATTGTTTTTAGGCTCTTCCATGATAAAATGTAAGTCAGTCCTTCATTTTTTTTTTATGGCTAAATCATATTCTGTGGTATGCATAGAGCATGTTTTGCTTTCTGTTTTCACTTGAGGACACTGGATTCTCCCCACTCCATCTTTCACCTATGTCCACTGTGTTGAAATTGTAGGTCACAGGAGCTCAATCTAGTGAATGTTTTAAATGCTATTGAACTCTCTGCTGTCGAATGGTTAATTGTGTGTTTGAAATTTTCAAAATTGCACAGGAATGTCACCAGTGCTGATTTTGTCCTGCCTCCTTTATTTTGAACAACTTCGTTCTGTAGCAAATTAGACTACAACATGAAGGAACACCCTTTAAGAAATACTGGTGGGAAGATGGTCGTCTTTTCTGTTTTACAAGATCTCTCAGTGGCTGTGGAAAAAGAAAGATGAATAGCCAGTAGTAGTTTTCTGTTTATTGGAAAATTATCGGAATTCAGTGGTGAAGTGCTGGGTTACTGTGTTGGCTGAGCAGAGCAGTGTGATCCTGTCTGTCAGGTGGGAACTGAGTTTTGAGTCGGGCAGTTTGTTGATGCGATTGGTGGGAGTGACAGTGTTCTTTCAGCCCAGACAGTTTCTAGAGTCTGCCAATCACCAGGATGGAATGTTCTCCTATCTAGAGGTTGGTTTACTTTTATACTCTGCACATGTTGCACTCTTCCTGGAGATAATAGTTTTGAGTTTGCCTTTGTTAAGTAGATCTCCATGTAAGACCAAGGTCATGGTCCCTCCATAAATGTGCCTATGGCAGCATGTAGAGAAGAGTGGATTGGTGAACTTGATGGTCTTGGAATAGCCCATGACTGTGTAGTCTTGAGTCTGTCCATCTTGGAGTCATTGATTTCCTGCAAATTATGGAAAATGTCCACCTGGGCCTCTTGCTTCCCAGCTGGCACACACAAAGTGAAAGAAAATGATCACTTGATCTGTCTCATTGGTTTGTTTCGTTGTAGGACAGATTGGATGATTCTTATTCAATGGTTCTGAACCTCTCATACTTTCATTTGTAAATAGTTTCTATTAATTTCCATGTGTATATGAAAGGCAGAGGGAGAGAAAATCTTCCAGCTACTGTTTTCATTCCATAAATGTTTACGACATACAGGGCTGAGCCTGAAATTTCATTCTAGTCTCCCATGTGGGTAGCAGGGGCTCAAGCAGTACTTGGGCCATCATCTACTGCCTCCTAGGTTGTGCTTTGGCAAGAAGTTGGATTGGAAGTAGAATAAGCCTGGACTTGAATCAGGCACTTCGGCATGGAGATATGGGCATCCCATGCAGAGACTCAACTGTTGCATCACGTTTCCATTCAGTGCCCCTTCCCCCATCCTCCTTTTAACTGTTAAAAAAATAATTGTCCATACAGATCTAAATACTTAGAAAACATTTTTTATCAGCTAGGTGTTACTAAATATTCTCATACAAGGTGTGGATTGGAAGAAATGGGATTTCTTCTCATCTGCATGTTTGGTATCGTTTTAGTTGTGCCATCTATGTGACATGGCAGACTAACTGGCTTCTTTGTTGCTGTGACTTGGTGGTGGCTATGTTGACAGTGATATGGGTTTTCACATTTTCTAGCATTTCTGAGTGATTTTACCTGGTAATCTTACAAAGAACAAAGCCCTGGGCTACTGCACCTTCATGCTAAATCTGAAGTTTAGCAAGGTGTCTCAGGGCTGTACAGGTCTTCTGTATAGGCTGTTCCCTTCTGTCTACCAGGCTCCCTTCCTTCTTGTGTCTGCTGATGTATTGCCTTGCCAGCTGGGCACTCTCAGAGTTATGTGGAGACATTTCCTCACTCAGTACCCCCTCACCCTACCACCACTTGACATGTCTAATATTAGGCATTTATTTCTTCTCTCCTCCCCAGGACAACATCAGTTGATGAGATCTGGTGCTTTATCACTTTCTGTGTGACGTGCAGCCCTGGAATATTAGGCACAAACATTGGTTGGCTGAGTCTAGCATCTGCTATATGGGTACCACGTGCTGAGTGCTCTGGGCAGTGGGACCTTCACGTGTCCTGCTTTACTTAATCCTTGCAATACCCCTATACACAGAATAGCAAATAACATCCCCACTTTACAGATCTGGAAACTGAGACCCAGAGAGATGCATTTTTTAGCAAACTTAGGTCCAATCAGAGAGAGGCTCACATATGAAGAACTAGTTCCAGAAGAAGAAACATATCAGGTTATGGCTCACAATATTTACAGAGAAAGTATTAGTCAACAAGTCACACATATACTGGTTGATACCACACAGGTCCAATCACGAGGTTGGCCCAAAGGAGTGGTATGATCTTAGGCAGGTTACTTAACCTTCGTTTACTCCAGTTGTTTCATTTTTAAACTGAGGATGATGACATAGGATAAAATAACAAGGATATATGGCTGGTGCAAGGTTTATAGCAGTATTAGTGAACATGGAATTTAAAGCAACACATAGAAGAATACAGCAACTATTGATAATATATACAAGCAATGTTTGACAAGTTTGTGAAAATGTATTATGGGAAAACTATGCATGGATTTAACTTTTTTGTGCCAATAGGTTTCGATTCTATTTTTCCATGAACTTTAGTTCCTTTGTGTATGTATGTGTGTTTGTACTCAGAGGAAGGTAAGTGCTGTGAGACTGAGAGGTGGGCCAAGTTTTCTGCAAGTCGGTAGGGCTGGAGAAATGGGCAGGGATATTCTTACTGACGCTGACCATGCATGTAAGGAAAAGGGGGCTGGTCAGGATGTCTGTCCGGTAGTTTGTCCAGTTGAGTCCTTCGTGTGTGATGGTGAAGCCATCGCCCCCTGCGTCTCTGACAGGTCAAATGCAGCCAACAAGGGAATGTTTGTAAGCAAAAGCCCTCTGCTAGTTTTGATGTGTATCTTAAAAGTCCATACAGAGAGTGGTGACTCCAAATCAGGCCACTGGTTGGACACTTGTAGAGACTGAATTCTATGTCAGTGAAAGGCAACGGGAATCTAACTTTTCTAAGGCTTCTGAGTCAAGGAAACCCTCTACCAAGTCAAAAAAATTACAGAATGCGGTGGGTGTTTAAGTGTATTGTCTTGTTTTTTAAAAATTTTTATTGGAAAGTCAGATATACAGAGAGGAGAGACAGAGAGGAAGACTTTCCATCTGTTGATTCACTTCCCAAACGTCCATAACATCTGGAACTGAACCATTCCAAAGCCAGGAGTCCAGAACCTCCTCCGGGTCTCCCACATGGTTACAGGGTCCCAAGACCATGGGTCATCCTCGACTGCTTTCCCAGGCCACAAACAGGGAGCTGGATAGGAAGTGGGGCTGCCAGCATTAGGAATACTGTCCATATGGGATCCCAGCATGTACAAGGTGAGGACGTTAGCTGCTAGGCTGCTGGGCGGGGCCGTGGTGGGTGTTTCTGCGGAGCAGGTTGAGTTGCCGCCTGGGCCAGCCTCCTCCCTTGTTAGCTCTTGGTCTGGATGTCTGCTCGTGTGCCTGGGTGCACTGTAGCAGGTGACTCATACCTGGATTCCTGTCACCTACTCGGGAGGATGGAGTCCCTGGCCCCACCCTGAAGCCATTTGGGAAGTGAACCAGGGGGAGGAAAAATCTGTCTCCTTTCCAAGGCGGAACCCAGGTAGAGCGGTGCAGATTCATCCTGTTTCCCACGGGCTCATCTGGGATCAGGTGTGGCTTGGGGAATGCTCGTTAGGGACACTTGAGTACTTTGCAGCAGTTAAAAGCTTGTTTCTGGTCTTGTTCCCCAAGCCCTTAGCCCTCCTGGATTTATTAGGGCAGACAGAGCTCATCTTGTAGGAAGTGGGTGTGTATGTGCAGAAATGGGCGATTTCCTGTGGAACAGGCTTGTCTCGGGATCCAAAGCTGTTCCAAAGGTGTGCTTGGGTGCGTCCTCATCTTTTTTTTGAGCCAGTGCTAGACTTTTCAGTAACCTAGATTACAAACCTCGCTTGCCTCAGCTCCCTGTACACCTCACTAACTGCTGGGCTCAGAAAACACTGGGAGATTTTCTAATGGGAGTGGAGAGGGCTAGAGGAACATGTAGGATGCATCTCTTAAGTGTAACTGCTTCGTAAAGTGCCACAGTCATTGCAGCAGGCAGAGTCCAGAGCTATATCCGGTACAAATCAGAATGTTTCTGACATTCTTCAATGGTAGTTACAGTTAATAGACTACATCTTTAAATGTGTTGGTTTTTTTAGAATTATTTTAGAAAGGCAGAGAGAAAAAATAGGATCTGCCATCCACTGGTAATATTCTCCAACTGCCCACAAGAGTCAGTGCAAAGCCAAAACATCGGAATTCCATCCAAGTCTCCCAGGTGGGTGGCAGAAACTCGGGTGGCCATCATCCGCTGCCTTCCAGGGTACACACCAGGAGGAAGCTGGAGTAAAGCAAAGTGCCGGGACTCAATCAGGTCCTCCTGTGTGGGACGGGGCCATCTCGAGCAGTAATTCAACCACTGTGCCTCACCCACCTTCCTCTAAATTTTTCTCATGTACTTCAACACACACAGAATCGTGTCTCATACTCTTTTGCACCTTGGCTCCTCTGCACTGTGAGGCCCAGCCCGCGTGTGTGAGGGGCAGCCAAGCGGAGGCTGAGGAAGGTGGCTGATAAGACTGTACCTGCAGAATGCAGCCCGCTCCGCAGCCAAGCAGTGAGTGTGGATTCACCAAGGTTGAAAGGAACCTGAAGTACTCTACAGCGCCACGTCACTTCCTTTGTCCCCCAAACCCTACCTTTACAGCCCACTTAAGAAAATCCAACACCTCATACTCCCCAGGTGTGACTTTCCTGGTCTGCTGTCTGTACCAGACCACTGAACCTGGCCTGGGGGAGCTCCCAATAAGATTTGTTAAAAGCTGAACATTATTCTGTGTGAAGTTTTGGTTTTGAGGATAAACTGGAGTCTTACACTGTCCTCATAGGTTAAGGATATTTTTAAGGGCCCAGCGCAGTAGCCTAACAGCTAAAATCCTTGCCTTGCACGTTCCAGGATCCCATATGGCTGCCAGTTCTAAACTTAGTGGCCCAGCTTCCCATCCAGCTCCCAGTTTGTGGCCTGGGAAAGTAGTTGAGAATGGCTCCAAGCCTTGGGACCCTGCACCCACATGGGAGACCTTGGAAGGGTCTCCGGGCTCCTGGCTTTGGAATGGCTCTGTTCCAGATGTTGTGGCTGCTTGGGGAGTGAATCAATGAATGGAAGATCTTCCTCTCTCTCTTATCTGTATATCTGACTTTCCAATAAAAAGAAATCTTAAATGTTTTTTAAGTGAACTCATATGCTTCCCACATTTGTTTTGATGATTGCAGTTGCCAACTGTGAAAATATCACAATGTGTCTGTGGAGTGTTTTGTCACATGCAAATGTCTGACTATAAACACAGAGCGAGTTACCAGGGATGGGATGTGTGTCAAAGGCCATGTGCGTTTTTAATTCCAGCAGTTCCTGTCACTTGCTTTCCAAAAAGCTTGGTTTTCGACTCTCGCATTGTCGGATGACGATTGCTTTTTCTCATAATCTGGTTAACACTGTATTGTCACTTTTTAGTTTTTCTTAATCTGATAAATCTATTGGTTTGAGGTTTTAAAACTATGAGTATCTTTGTACGTACTTATCTCCCCCCCACGCCCTCCCCCCCCCCGTGAATTGTCTCTTTCTTTTTTCTATTTTGTTAACTTTGTCTTGACTAATGGGAGTTCTTTTGAACTTCAGGAAGTTAGTTTCGTATCTGTTATTTGTGTTTCTTGTGTTACTGTCTTCAGCTTATCATCCTGGTTTTTGATTATACTGGTACTTTTAGTTGCATGTTGTTTTCATCAGTGTTTTACTTCAGATTTCTGTCTTCCTTAGAATGGTCTTTCGATATGGTTCGCTACAAAGAATTAACCCATATGTTCTTCATATTCTCTGATTCAGTTTCTCATAGGTCAATCCGTTCTACAATTTCCTCCAATGTAAGGAATCTCCAACCTGTTGAATGTTAATCCAACTTTGCGGTTAAGGTCCATCTTTTTCCTAATCTGAAATAACAGTTTTATCATACCTTGAATTCCAAACAGCTACTAACTTAAGGTCTGTTCAGATGAGCATTTTGTGAACTTGACTCAAGCAGGAGCACCCTGGGGTCTATGAAAGCATCCAAGAGAGTGAAATTGGAAAGTCCTTCTGAGCTCCATGCTCATCCACTTTGTTTTCTTTCTTTCTTTTTTTTTTTTTTTTTTGCTGGTCTTGCAGATCTCTGAGAAGTATGGGCTGCCTGTGGAGAAGATCTCAAAGCTTTACAAGAAGAGCAAAAAAGGGTAGGAATGAAATTGAACTGAAATGGGTTTCCCAAGTACTTTAGGCCTGTTTAAAAAAAAAAATCTTGCTGTGTTAAAGTGCCTGTCACATTAGTCCTGTTATCGACCTTTTATGACAGCTGTATGTCATTTTTGCATGGAGCTGCAGAACCCCTGCAAGTGCAATGCACTGTGAAGGTGTTTAATGAGAGGCGGGAGATCGTGAGCTGTCTGCCCTGTGTGGTGTCAGCAGAGCACCTCCCTTTCCAGTGTCAGGGTTAGTGAGAGGACTGAAGGGCTTGGAGGTGGTGAGGACACTGGGAAGGACAGGAAGGCACCGGAAACCCAAGCAGGCTCTTGGAGTTGGTTTCCGGGTGGCATGATTGAGGATGTAGAGAATCCTTCAAAGATAATCATTAACAAAATGTTCTCAAATGGTGATTGGATCTGCTTGTCCTCTTTGTTCAGAACGGTAGTTTGTGTGTGTTTGGTGTTCAGTAACTATTTGCCTTTCTCTGTGGGCTGCTCACCGCTCAGAGGTAGCGAGGATGAACAGTAGCTCTCGTTGACTGATGAAGAACCTAAGCCAGAGGCTTACTTAGGCACTTTCTCCAAGGTTGCCTCTTCCTTCAGGAGAACATGGCTTGTGTTCTCCATGGTCAAGTGCTCGTTCAGCCCTCTGTGGCCCCCAGGGTGATAATAGGTCCTTTACTCCTTGCAGCAAACTTGCAGGTTAGTGTCATCATTGCCATTTTGTAAATGAGAAAACTGAGTTCAGAGGCTCATTCCTCTCCTGGGGCTTCCACGGGCGAAGGATGTATGAGTATTGGCTGCAGGAACCAGATGCCCCTGACTCTTCACAGGAGAGGAACAGCGTGTAAACGCTCTCTTCCCCTTCCTGGGCCTTGTTTATACAGGAGATCGATGGTCCGGGCTGCTGACCCACTGAGGGATGAGGTGTCTTGTTGACACAGGAAACCCTTTGCCCAGGAGCGTCTCTTGGAAAACTCATTAAAGCACATACAACATTCTTTCCAAGGTCTATGTAACAGGCTGAGTAGATTTGAATTGTACCTCAAAGTCTTGCTGCCAATCAGAAATTCTCAGTGCACATCAGGGGTACACGCTGATGCCCACAAAGCCATTTCACTGTTACAAAGTGTCAGGGCCTGTGCTACATGCATGGCTGCCAACCACAACCTTCTACACTCAGCACTTATTCCTGGCTTTGTGGGAGAGGTGGTGAAAGACTCAGCGATGTACCTGATGATGCAATGAGAATCTGTTCTTCACTCTCAAGCTTAGACATGTCTGACCTCAGAGTGAGAGTGGCTCAACGACTCTGGAAGTCATTGATTGTCTTAAGACCAAAGCCAGAAGGAAGAGTCAGGCCAAGGGTAGGTCCCATGTGCTGAAGTGTAAGTGCCAGAGTTCTGCAAAGCTGCTACCACAGCCCCAATCAGTCACACCCCAGCTGAATCAATGTAGGAAATGATCTAACCTCACCGGACTGTTTTCTCACTTGTAAAATGGCAAGGATGATGCCAACCCTCAGGTCTCTGTGCGGATTCCTGGACAGGACTTAATACTCAATGAAGAGCAGCTGTAGTTCTTGTCTAGTTTCCTCTTCTGTACTGGCAGAAGCAACAGGAGTGTAATGAAAAGAGTTATGGGGTTTAACCATTTAGGTCCCTGCTGCATTCGTAGCTAACCGGGATTTCAGGCTCTGTAAGATTTTCTGGCCTGACACTTACACATCCACAAAACAAGAAGGTTTAGTAAGGAGTCACAAGGTGAGACTCAGACATGGAGACGTTGCTGTCCTCAAGCTGATTTGGAGGAAGCATCTCTCACTGCCTGTGGCCTCTCTCTTGTACCCTCTATTGCAAAAAAGGGACTAAGAACCCCCAGCCCTGCCCAAATGCAGAGCCTTCTGTTTATGCCATCTCTTCTGTTGCCTCTCCCTTACCTCTTGGCAGCATTTTGGTGAACATGGATGACAACATCATCGAGCACTATTCGAACGAGGACACCTTCATCCTCAACATGGAGAGCATGGTGGAAGGTTTCAAGGTCACACTCATGGAAATCTGAGCATTGCACTCAGTCTCCACTTTGGCAAGGCGCTCACGATGCATCTCTTCCCTGGGACGCATGGGTCCTGCCCCTGAGCCTGGAGACTCATCTTCTCCCATCTCACAACTGCTGTTACAAGACCATGCTGGGCAGTGGGGGACAGGAGCAGGTGCAAGCCTGTCAGGCCTGTCTATCGGGACTTGCAGCCTGAGCCCCTTGTGAAGGTGCATCGGGCCTACTGAATCCTTATTTATTGCCCACCTTTGCCCAGATTCCAGGCCCCCCCAGGACTCTACAGGTCACAACAGGCTCTAGCTAAGGCCACCAAGCTTCCCCTCCCAAGGAAATACAACCAATCCACTTAGCTCGAAGAGCCTGAAAAAATACTTTTCCCTTTTCCACCTCTCCATATCTCCTGAGTACCCAAGCAATATGAGCTGCCTTAATGCAAGAGACATAGGTGGGCACCCCTTTTACTGGTCAGATCCTGCAGGGAGCGCTGGAGAAGGTCACCTTGGGACATAACTCCAGGCGTTCCCATCAAGTTACCACTTGGCCTTTGTACCGGAAGACACTGAGCTACTGTGTAAGTAGTAAGGGGCCAGGAAGCATCCCTGATGCTTGTGTACATAGTGTTTATAATATTGCAATAATATATTCTCCCTGTGGTGTATGTAGGTGTGTTTACTGCCCCTGGCTTGGGGAGACACCTACTCAAGACTCTGCTTTCCACATGAGCTGTCTGCCTTCATGCCTATTTTAGACACCTGCTTGGCTAGGGAAGTGGCCTTTGGGAATAAGTGACTGCGGCATGTGCCAAGGCGGCCTCTTCCATAGGCCCAGATCTGGATTCGTCCCCTGTCTCTCCTGGAAGCCACTGCATTCATCTCACCAGGAAGTGTTCTGCTAGACTCCTCTTCAAGCTATCTCCTGGAAAAGATGAATCATCTGAGGCCCCAGCTGCTGTTGCCATGACTTTGGTCTGGGGCAATTGCCTTAGCTTCCTAGAATGACTGTTAAAAGAGGTTTGTATCCCGGCCACCATTGCATCACTGGCTGCAGGACCCCGTGGCCTGTCACGAGCCTCCTGGACACTGCGCAGTGCTTTGTGGTTTACAAACACAACATTCATCTCAAGTGGTCCCTACCGTCAGAGAGCCACACCAGATGCTTGACCCTGGAGGGCCCGGCAGGCGCTTCGTCATGGACCGTGAGACTGGGAAGGAAGATGGTGGATGCTGAGTGTAGAGGGAGGGAGGGAAAAGTTCTACAGTGCCTGGCTCATCTGAAACCAGCTGCTGGAGACAGGGGGAAGGACGGATGTACCTCCCAACCCCTCGTTCTAGAAGCAAGAGAGAACACTTCCTCAAGCAAACAGCCACAGGCTGATGAACTGCTGTGGGCCGCTGTTCTCTGTGAGGGGATACATAGCTGAAGCACTAGGCTTGTGGCAGACTCCGCCCAGCCCCGATGCCTGCTTCTATCTAAAAGGCCCAGATTTGCTCCTAAAGCACTTTGATGTCTTACCTGCTGGTCCCTCCTTCAGGACTGCTTGTCACCCTGAGGCCTCGAACATAGTAGAAAGGCTGCTTCTAACCCAGCTGCTCCTTGAAGCTGCAGAATCACTGGATGCAATGGAGAACAGGTGCTGTGCCCAGGCTGCTTCTGTGTGCCCTCGGGACCTGCAACTGCACCCTGGGGGTACTAAAGGCTTGCAAGTTGGATTCTCTGCTTCAATCTGTACCTTACCCCTCCTCCTCTCTGATACCCATGCCATGGACCATGCTGGGTCCTAGTGGTTAAAAACGTGACATTCAATGCACTTGGCAGCCTCATGGGAGGTTGCGGGGTGGAGGGTTAGTTGGTTACTTGTAGCTTCCCCACATGGTGGGTAGCTGCCATTCTTGGGGCATGGGCCTCCAAGGGGAGAGAAAAGACAAGATTCAGGGCAGCATGAGACAGATGACCTTGCCTTCTATCTTCCCCAATCCTTGCTGGTCTTGTTGAAAATGAATCGGATGCTTTAGTACTTGTCCTAAGTCCCAGAGAAATTACTGTAGTGACCGTTGCCAGAACAAGACACAAGACCATTGCTAGCAAAGGCTGAGGCCGAGTGTCACAACCCACCTGATCCATCCCCTCTGCATCCCCAGAGCACACAGGGCTGGTGTGAACATGTCATTCATGGTGTACATTCGTAGAGCTTCAATGGAAATTTTCCTCAGCAACACACTCTAGGAAGCTGGGAAAACATTTCTGTCTCTTGATCATATTCAAATAAATAAGTGAAAAAGTCAGCCAAGGAGGATGGTGACACATGAAGCAAGTTTTTTCTTGTTGTTGTTGTTTTTTAAATATCCCCATGTTCTCACCATGGGAAGTCCAGAATCAACAGAAAAATGTAGTCTGGTGTCATCCTGAACTTGGGTCCCAAAACACCAGGACACATCCAAGCCCAAAGTTAGGAAACATGAAACAAATCAGAGGTCTACTTTCCTCCTCATTTAAAATCATGAAGATGCAACAGAGAGAGGGTTTGTGCCAAATTCTATGAACGGCTCTTTCATAAAGACAAGCAAGGGAGATGGATATGTGTACAATTTGCTCTCATGTTTTTAAAAAAAGGCAAATGTAACTTAACAGTTTTGTAAATGGGAGAAGGGGAATCTATAAACTATAAATACAGGTATTTTATTTTTTGTACATTTTTAAGAAGAAAAAAATAAATATTCATAACATAAGAATTAAATGACAGTGTCTTGTGCTCTTTTTATAGGCAAGAGGTTAGGGTTCCTGGACTGACTGGAAAGAAATTCTCATGTGATCCAGAATTCTGGGCTCCCACACACACCTGCAGGACCTGGGCATTAGCACAGCAGGTGTGTCCTCTGAATGTTGCGTGTTGCTCTGCATCCCAATGTTAAATAAGAAGGCTGAAGATCACAAACACGTGGCCATGACTGGCTTCCTAGGTTCATTCTTGGCTAACCTCTCCAGGGCCAGGAGTAGATTCTGTCCATTCACTCTGCCAAGCCTCACTAAAGCTTCCTTCTTCCTTAGTCCATCCATGTGGTTTTCTCTTTGAGGGGCAAAACATGTGGCTCAAACATTAATGCCCCAGTGCACCACCCCAGCAGGTATTGGGGTTTCCTGGGAGAGCACCAGCCTTCAGAGCCATCCACACTAAATTAACCATTACCCACAATGACCTCCCAGTGTTGGCCTTACTACAGTCCTCTACATTTCCCCCTGTCTCCATCGACTCACATAGCTTTCAGATTCTAGGTAAAATTTTGCCTTTGAGAAGAAGCCATCTCTATAACCAATATAACCTCCATGGCATCTTCAGACATCTCTATGCTTGTTTGAGAGTCAAGGAAGAGAGGACTGGAGGATGGGTGACCTGGGATTAGAAATGGGCCATGTAGCTTTTGTGCTCACAGGTTCAATTGGAAGGCTCAGTGTTCCACCCAGGTACGTTTGGCTGGGGACAGTTTCTTGCTGTTCAGTGAACTGTGCTCAACCATTTAGACTACCCATCCTTCAATCCCTTCATTACAATGCTGATTGGTTAGGTCAGAATGACTCATTTACCACTGTCACAAGGTCCAGTATCAGTACTGGCCCATACAAATTCAGCTCAGCTACTATGTGCTGTGCTGGCTACAGAGGTAAGGTAAGACGTAGATTGTCCTTTGTGTGTCAATGTGACAGTGACTTGCTGTTATTGACACAGCCATAGAAGGTTGCCCTAGGAGATTTGGGGTTTGTTCTTGCCCCTGGTCCTAAGACATGCAAATCCCTCATACCCTGAGACACAGTTTGATAAAAAGTAAGACTCACCAATCACAAAGCTTGATCCAGGAAGAGGGTCGACTCAAGTGTCCAAACTTCATACTGGCGGAGGGTTAAGGTGTGTTGTCCAAGGAAGTGGGAAAGGGAATGGCTACTGCCCCTTAGAGACACAGATGCCAAGCTGTGATGACACATTCAAGAAGGTTCTGGAGGGAGATTCATGGGGAAGGTACAGAGGAAAAGGGGGAGAGAGGCGTGAGTGGGGACGAGCTTGTGGCAAAAAAATTCTGAGGAAGTCTCACCAGGCCAGTGGGGCATCTCCAGGCAAGGGTCACTTGTGCAGGAGCCCCATGTAGAGCAAGAAGGACCCGTGGCAGACCATATCCATGTGTTGTCATTGACTCAGAGCAGTGGGGGCGGAGAATGTGGGCTCCCAGTGGTTCCAAAGGTGCAGCCGCTGCAGCCTGTCCATAGGCTTTGCTCCCAGCAGCGGGTTCTCCTAGGGGAAGAACTGGGCACGGTTGATCCCTTCTAAAGCCATCTCCAACAGAGAATCATGCAGGCTCCAGGCACACCCCCTGCCTTGTGGTCTCTCACAGGATGTACCTTTTCCCTCCCGGGGTCCCTCGTTTCTATCTATCTCCAAGACCCTCTAAAGGGTTGCATGAGCTAAGTTGAAAGACTCGAGAATTCAAGGGAGTGGGGGTGGGGGACTCCCTTCCTGAGAGAAAGAGCAGTGAAATGTTACCAAAGGCAAACAACCCATCATGCAAGGCTCAGGAGAAAATCCTTTCCTCTGTCAGTGACATAGCTCATCTGTGATTGTTCCTATGGTGCTGTGACAGGTGTTCCCAGCTCACTCTCCTGCTTCTTTGCTAACAGCTCCTACCGCCTCCTGACCCACCCTTTAAGACTTGACCATGCTTGATATTACATGGGGTTGTTACTGTGTTCCACTCGATGTGGTAGCTCCACACTGATGTTAGAGACACCTTGTTGGGGTCTGTCCATCTGTTTTCACATGAATGGTATATAGGTTGTGGGGCCATACTTCTAAATGTGGGGCAGATGGGCCTGCCAGTCCCGACCCTTGTCTCACTGTATGGTCCCAATGAGTAAGTTCCCCCACATGGTGGGAAGCTCTCAGAGGAGCCATTGTTTGCATCTCCAGGAGCATGCATTGTGCATAAACTCCCAGTCCAGAAAATGCCCATGAACCATCT